TACTCAAATACGAATCAAATAAATAAAACCCTAGTAAAAACACTAGATACCTGAAGCCTGGTGAATTCATCAGAGTGCTGGGAGGGTGACAAGCCTCGATTCCACTGGGAGAGGGCCCAGAAGTTCTGCATTCGTGATCCTCCCAACTCCCACGTTTCGCTTTAAGTATATCCTCACTTGGCTGGTACTGATATGGATCCTTTATAAAAAACTGTAATAGGGGTGCCTAGGTGGCTCAGTTGGTTTAGTGTCTGACTATTGAACTTAGCTTAGGTCTCAATCTCAGGGTCATGAGTTCAAGCCCTACTTTGGGCTCCATACTGGGCATGGAGCCTACTTTTAAAACAAAACTGTAATCAAAAAATAAAGCACTTTCCTGAGTTCTGAGTCATTCTAGTGAATTATTAACCTGAGAGTCATGGGAACCTCCAAATTTGTAGTAGGTTGATCAGAATTACAGGTTGCCTGGGAACCCCCAAACTTGTGGCTGCCATCTTAAGTGAAGGCAGTCTTGTAGGGGTAGGCAGTCATGGAAATCCCCTGGGTTTGTAGCCAGTTGGTATGAACTTTGGGTGACCTGGAGAACTTCAAACTTAATGGTTGACAACTAAAGTGAGGGCAGTTTGGAAATCATGAGCTTAAACTAGTGGAATCTGACATCCATTCTGGGTGGTTAGCATCAGAAATGAATTATGGTATACTGCTACATGCAAGACAAAATTTCTGTCTCTAAGGAGAAAGATAAGATTTATCAGTAGGTCCACTCAAGTCCACAGACAACCCAGCATGAACGAGGTATGGAGTTTTTATTTTGATTTATTGTGCATCTTGAAAATGTCATTATTTACATCTTTTTCTTTTTGAACTTATTTGGAAACAGACAAAACTAACCTCACACAGAACAGTTAAGCTTCTGGAACAACTATGTGAAAATGGGTATACAGTTCAGACCGTTAAGCTTCATGTTTATCAAAATGACAATGAGATAATTTCTAGTGGGTATTAAAATGTGCAAAACAGTGTGTGTTCATGAGAAGAAATAAAAGAGGAAATGCAAGAAATAAAATGAAAGTAATCTTATATACAAGTAATTAGAGAGAACCATTATTACTCTTCTCCTTCCCCTTTCCACTTAATATCTTAAAGAGATATTTCCAGGTCAATAAATATAAAAAAATGATAAAATGGATGGTATCACAATATTTCCTCACTGGGATAAATCATAAACAGTTCCCTAAGCCCTATTTCTAATTTTCTACTATAAAAAATGATGCTGTAATAAATATTCTTGTAACTAATTCCCTCCATAAAACTGGTACTATTTTGTTAGGGTAAACTATTTGAAGTATAATTTCTAGGTCTTAATGATACATTTTTCTTAGTATGTATTTATACTCCTACCAGCTTTGTATATGAATATACTTATTTTCTATACTTGACAAGCTAGGGAAAGCTTTTCCCTTTGCCAATATAATAGGCCAAACCACTTTCTCAGTGTTGCTTCAAAATGAACTTAAGAAATCAACTCTTTTTAAAAATATCTTTTGACAATTTTTTTCTTCTACAGACAACTTTCTGTTCATGCTCTTTGCTCATTTTACTTTGGAGCACTCATCTGTTTCTCACTAATTTAATAAGAGTATGTATACATAATATAGAGTTTAAGCCTTTTTCACATACATCCAAATATATCCATAGTTTGTCATGATGCAATTTAAGTCACTATGAATAATACAATGTCTATTTAGGAGTTTCAGAAGTTGGCCACAGAAAACAGTCTTTTCACCATTATTTTAGGCTAAGCATTTTCACTATAAGGTAGTAAGACAGAGCAATCAAGATCTAAAAAAAAAAAAAAAAAAAGCAAAGTACTCACACTCACTATCAAGACCTAAAAAAAAGCCAATATTCAGTCACTATTCAAGTTAATGTAAAATAACCCATTAAACACAGATAAGTTTTCTATTCCCAAACTATTCCCATTTTAAACTCTAGAAAATGTATACTTATTCACTGCAAAATAGGGACTTCTGATTTAATCCTTACTTTATTGTTGTTATCATTACTCTCAGAGTCTGCATACAAATTAACAATCTTACATTTTCTAGAAATGTAAAAATTCACAAAAATAAATGTACATTGAATAAGAAGGGAGAAGATACATGAAGCCAAAAGGGAAGGGAAAAAATTGATGTCAAATAAAAAGTGGATCCTTAAAACCCATAAAGAAGCCTTAATTCCAAAAACATGGAAATCTCTAGTTTTCTGAATCTTGCATCTTTTTGATTAGCTGATGAACACATTTTTTAAAAAAAGATTACAGACCTCAGATTGTAAAAAGTTACAATCTTAAAAGTATTTTATCATCTAGGGGCACCTGGGTAGGTTGGTTGGGTATCCAGACTCTTGATTTCAACTCAGGTCATGAACTCAGGGTCATGGGATTGAGTCTTACTTTGGGCTCCTCGCCTGCTTGAGAATCTCTCTCCCCATCTTCCTCTCCCTCTGCCCCCCTCTCCTGCTCTCTCTCTTAAAAATAAAAATTAAAAAAAATGTTTTATCATCCAAAATCTTACTATTCAAATTACAAAGTATGTGTTTGTATTAAGTTACATCAAACATAAATCACCTTACAGAAAATAAAATTGTCTTCTATATCTGGTATTATATAAATTATTTAAAAAACAAATAAATTTATTGTAGGAATGTACAAGAACACCCTCACAATAATCCGCAAGCTATTAACACATTTAAGGCCCAGAAACAGGCCAAATATACTATTTATTGTAATAAAATAAATTTGCATTACAACATTGTCAAGATCACTTCACTCAGTAGCACATTATGAGAATTAGTATCCCAGAACTTAAGTATTCCTATCCAAGTCTTTTCCTATTTTTTTAATTTAGTTTTATTGCTGTAACTGAAATGCTTGACATTTGTTAATAACTCAAAAATATCAGTTACAAAAATTAGTAAATAAAAAAGAACAAAACTGAATTTGCAATGTGTTCATAATGTTGTAAAATAAATGTCCAACTAAAGGAAGTAACATCAAAATATTAACTGTCTTCAGGCAGTAAAACTAAGGGTGATTTCTTTTTCCTTTATAATAGATTTTCTTAGAGTCAGACAGGAGCATCTATTATTTTTATAACTAAACTTTTTTTAGAAAAAGATGAAATGTACCAAGTCGAATAACTAAAAGGAACTTCCTGATCTTCAAGCAATCATCTCCTCAAATACAGGAATAGTTTTTAAATACTTTACCTGGAGATAGCCACGCCAAATAATAGCTACAACAAACATCTTGCACTTTATAGAAGTACAGTAAGACAGTACAGCATATTTTCATCTAAATGGTAGTACTATATGCTCTGCTGCACATTGTTTCATCAGCCTGAAGGCTAAAATAAGAGTTACAAGTTATGATAGAATTTATTTTTTAGGGAAAAAGTAATTATCTCCATAAACTAAATCCCAGATTTTTCTCCCTTTTTAATGCTATAAAATTAGTTACCACCAAAGTAGAATGTGTAGACAATATATGGAAATATTTACTGTAGCTTGATATATTAAAAACCCAGTCCCCTTTACCTTCACAATATAAGGCTAAAGACCATTCAAAAGCAAACAACACAAAACAAAAACCTACTAGCCAAAAAGAAAAAAAGAACACAGACAGGAAATGGAAAACTAAAGAACTAGTTACGTTATTTAGGACAAAAGAGAGAAAGAAAAGCTAGCTGTCCTATTGTAGGAATAGGCTGCTGAGTCTGCTAATACAAAAATTTTTAAGTCCATTTGCTCAGGATGCCAACTGTCAAAAGACAACTGGTCAAAGGAGATATACAGCATCACCTGCTGCACTCCCAAGACACTCAAGAAGGTAAATCTTTGCTCTTTCTCTTCTATTTCCAACTCACATCAAGAGAAACAGGATAGGCTAAGATTCAAGAATCACAGCCAAGGATAAAGAAAGTAATCACAAAATCTCAAGGACCAATCTTCACCCTATTTGTGAAACTTAACCTAAAAGGAAAGTTTCCAGTTACTTAAAAAAATGAAAACCAAAATTATCCTAAAAACTGATAAATTATCTGAAAGTCAGTAGAACTTTAAAAAAAGTAAGTTTGGGGATTCCTGGGTGGCTCAGCAGTTTAGTGTCTGCCTTCGGCCCAGGGCGTTATCTTGGAGTCCTGGGATGGAGTCCCACATCGGGCTCCCTGCATGGAGCCTGCTTCTCCCTCTGCCCGTGTCTCTGCCTCTCTTTCTCTTTCTATCATGAATAAATAAATAAAATATTTTTAAAAAAGTTTTGATATATTCTGAGGATTTTGTTTTGCGTATGTATTTAAATTCTTTCTCCTGAGTTGTCTTCTCAATCTTAATGAATAAATCTATCTCCTTTCTTATGGTTTCAATTTTCATTTTAAATATGACAAAGTAAGCATCATCTTCATGTCAGCTCTGCCATAAAACAGCTTACTGGGCTTGATCAAGTGTCTGGGCCTAAGTTTCTTAACATACAGAAAGGCACTGGTACAATGACTTACATGAACCTTTCTACTGTAAAATAATCATTCTATAGTTCTTCAGGATGATATCACATTGTTTTGAGTGACTCCTCCTTTAACTGCAATTACTCTGTCCCTAGATTAAAACAGTGAGTATAGGGATGCCTGGGTGGCTTAGTGGTTGAGCATCTGCCTTTGGCTCAGGGTATGATTCTGGAGTCCCCAGATCGAGTCCCACATCGAGCTCCCTGCATGGAGCCTACTTCTCCCTCTGCCTATGTCTCTGCCCCCCTCTCTCTCTCTCTGTGTCTCTCATAAATAAATAAAATCTTAAAAAAAAAAATAGTGGGCATATTCCTCAGTCATTCACCACATCAGCACTGGTGAAGACAGTACTATAGATTTACTCCCACCCCAATGTCATCACTACATCCATCCTCCAGCACAACAAACCCATCACTACCTACTTATTAATTTACTTACAGAGGAAATGGGTAAACCAAGCCCCACTATGGTGAGGACAGTGGATGTGACGGTACTGTCATGGTACGGGTACTGGATGCTGTTGTCTTTACAGAAAAAGCCTCTCTGAAATGGATATATTTGGCTCAAATTTAGAACAGCCATAGGCATGGAAGCTGTTGGGGAAGGGAAAAAAAGATACACATGGTTAAATTCAATTCACTTCATTAGGAAGTAAACTCTACTGAATGGGATGCAAATCTTAACCATATTTGGTCCTTTCTAAAAAGGATCAATAGTCCAAAATACCCAAGAGTGAAGATTAAGGAAACCATGCACCATTAGCTTGTCCATATCAGCCCCACCTTTATGAAGTATAAATTATCTTACTTGCGTTGACCTCTGATTTTAAAGACAATCAATAAAAGCAGCCCCGGGAAAGAGAGCAAAATTGGCCCATGAAAAAAATAAAGTTGAAAGAACAGCAAGGTTTTGTACTTTACATTCTGTAACTAGTTTATTTTTAATTGAATTGCTCAATATTTTAAATATGTTTAAGAAAGAAAGGAAAACTGTAAACACATTATCAGTAACATCATAACAGCCAAAAATACTCAAGGAGGGTAAAGATAGAAAAGTTTGTTTCACATTAAAATGTAAACTAATAGGGTAAGGAAAAAATGGAAACCCTAAGCACATTTGATAATAAAAACAGAAAGAGGGAGGCCTGAGTGGCTCAGTGGTTGAGCGTCTGCTTTTGGCTCAGGGCGTGATCCCAGTTCAGGGATTGAGTCCCACATCAGGATCCCTGTGAGGAGTCTGCTTCTTCCTCTGCTATGTCTCTGCCTCTCTCTGTGTCTCTCATGAATAAATAAATATTTTAAAATAAATAAAAGATAAAAACAGAAAGAAACTAGCCCTTTATCCCCCCAAAGATAAATTTAGAACGATTTTTATTAGCTCTGCAAGGGTCCCAATCACTTTAGAAAATTATATAGGAATAATATCCATTTGAAATTTTTCACTCAAGTAAAATTAAAGACCAAAGAGAAGTTAAATAACTTAAAATGAGTAGCTTCATATTTTGTTCAAGTTTACCATGTTTTTATGCTTCGTTTTATACAATTCAAACACTTAAGCATCTACTAACTACATGCTCAATATTAGGTTAGTGGGACGCCTGGGTGGCTCAGCAGTTGAGCATCTGCCTTCGGCTCAGGGAGTGATCCCAGGATCTGTGATTGAGTCCCCTATCAGGCTCCTTGCAGGAAGCCTGCTTCTCCCTCTGCCTAAGTCCCTGCCTCTCTTTCTCTGTGTCTTTCATGAATAAATAAATGAAACTGTTAAAAAGGATTACTAAGTTAGGCCACACAAAGGGAGACAAACTAGCATAAAACAGATGCTAGGTTCAAAAGCCTAAACCATACATATAGAAACAGAATGTGCACTAGAGGAAATTGTTTAAAATGTCATAATGAGATAAATATTTAGGGAGTGATGAAATTGTTCTGTATCTTGATTGTGATGGTTACCCCAAAGCATTTATCAAAATTCATATAGGGATGAATTTGATACAATGTACATCAAAATAAATGAATCTTACTATAGGGAATTCACAGAGAAATACTATAATAAAGAACGTATGACTAATTTCTAAAATGGTATAAAAGGTCCTCTAGGAATTCAGAGGTCAACGTGAACTAGATTAATTAGAAAAGACTATTTTTAAAAGGGCAACTGAGTTGAACCTGTAACAACACGTACCACAGGCAATAAGGAAGGGCTCAAGGAAAGCATTCAGTGGTACAAGGAAGCAAGGGCAGCAGGGGGTCGCACTAACAAAAGCACAGAGGCAATGAGCGAGGGGTCTTCAGGGTACGTAACATTTTATAGCCAACATATATTGCGAGCTCACACATGCCAGGCACTGGGCTATACAGATTCACTCCATCCTTAGCTATAACCGTGCAGGTAATATCACCTCTCCCATTTTTCACATAAAGTTATTATGAGGCTTAGACAAATGTGGACTCTTGCTGAAACTAATAAGGAGTAAAACCAGGATTTCCAAACAGGCTATTTCCAGTGTCTGTATATATGGCCTCCCACGGAGGCAAGTGATCTGGATAAATTAAGAGGTTAGAACTATGACAAGAAGATGAGACTGGGAGGCAGGAGACCTGTCGTTTGAAAAAGCTTCTTCAGTATAAAATACGTATTATGTTCATAATCAAAACTCAAAGTTTATGGAACAAAATGTTCTTTGCTATAAATAACTCTTAATTCTTCCATTCTATGATTTTTTAATGTGAGGTGCAGACTTAAGATTTTTGGTTTCATGGGCAGCCCGGGTGGCTCAGCGGTTTAGCGCCGCCTTTGGCCCAGGGTGTGATCCTGGAGACCCGGGATCGAGTCCCACGTCGGGCTCCCTGCATGGAGCCTGTTTCTCCCTCTGCCTGTGTCTCTCATGAATAAATAAAATCTTTAAAAAAAAAAAAAAAAGATCTTTGGTTTCAGAAAAAGAACTACATATTCTTTTCCTAAAAAAGAAATTTTCCTGCAGGAAATAAAATATCACTGCACTTGCTCAGTCAGGATCAGTGACAGGGTAAGTAAGATAAGGGATACTAGAAATTTAAAAAAAAAAAAAAAACAGCAGAAAGGGGATCATTTCATATAGCCTTAAAATAATCCAGTAATTAACCAATAAGTAGTGTGTTGACAGTGAACAGGAGAATGCACGAAGGAGTGTTCTGAATACAGAAATGAGTCAACGTCATGCCTGATCACAATTGCTGAGGCAGACCTGAGGATGACACTTCAGGGTTTAGAAAGAGAGACAATGGTGTGCCTACTGACAGAAACGCGAAGTTGGGAGTGGGATGTGGTTTATTGTGGAAGAAAACTTAGTCTTGAGAATACTGCCTTTGGGATGATCTGGTAACTTCTTAAATGCTCAGTCTCATCTTGGACTCTTCTATATGCAGCCCTTAAAGATTCCAATCACACTGAGCCATTTGCTGTTACCTTTGCCTATTACGGTTTTCAAAACCCTAGGTGGCTTCATAAATGTTCAGCCTTCTACTGGGGATACCTGACCTCTCATTTCCCCTTCCATCCAAGGCAGGCACGCCCTACTTATCTGTCCCATGACAACTTTTACATACATCTATCACACTGTATTTTATATTGCCTCTGACATTCTGTCACTAACTTGAAGGCAAAGGCTCTATCATTCTCATATTCTTTGTATCAGGCACACACACAGTTTGCTCTAAATAAATGACACTAAATGACTATAAGGAGTAACAATCAGAAGTAGGGAGGGACACACAAATTACTGGCATTAGAGGTGGTAACTTAAGCCAGGAGAATGAAGAAGTTCAGAAACAGCCTAAAATCAAAACCAGTAAAGATAAGACAACCAGCTAATGACTAAATATCCATAGTGAAATCATGAACGGAGACTATAGGAGAGACTATAGGAGAGAAATCATGAACGGAGACTATAGGAGAGAGAGACTAAAGGAAGAGAGGATGACTCCATACTCTAGATGTCAGGGGCTCTATTTCATTCAGCCACACACATGGCCATTCTTGGAAAAGAATGAACCATAGAGAAGTAGGGCAATGTTGTGACACAAAAGCCAACAGAAGTAGCTTACAGTATCAAGTACATATCTGGGCAAAGGTAGGATGTCAATGCTAAGATAATCAAGGAGAGTGAGAACTGAGTAGTCTCTGAGGTCAGAGGAAAAAGAGGATCTTTGATAACCGCCCTTTTATTATATTATTATACCACCTCCACTAACATAGCATTATCTTTATGAAGAAACTTCAATAATGAATTTCAGTATCAGGTTGTCCTTGTCTAAGCATGAGTATCTTTCTTCAACTTAAACATATAAATTATTTCCTCTTTTGCTCATACATTTTATATATACATATGTATAGCATATCCCTATGAACTAAATGTGCCCCAGAATTCATTTTTTGGAGCTCTAACCCCACTTTTATCATATTTGAAGGAGGGTGTTTTAGGATGTAATTAGGGTTAAATGAGGTCATAAATTTAATAAATTAATCCAATAGGGCTGGTCTCCTAGAAGAGGAAAAAGACAGAGATCTTGATCTCTCCATGTATTTGCACCAAAGAAAGGCCATGAGAGGATACAGGAAAATGTGGTCATCTATAGGCCAGGAATAGAATCCTCACCTAAACCCAATCATGCTGCCATCCTGTTATCAGAATTCTAGCCTCCAGAACTGTGAGAAAATAAATTTCCATTGTTTAAGCCCCCCAGTCTATGGCATACTGTTACAGCAGCCCAAACCAACTAGGACAGACAGATACATACACATACACACACACACACACACACACACACACACACACACACACACAAATCTATCCCCCTGGAGTAAAAAAAAAATACCTCTATTTTTAAAAGATAGTTTTATTTTAAAAAGCATGGAAGGGCACCTGAGTGGCTCAGTTGGTTAATCATCTGCCCCTGGCTCAGGTCATGACATCAAGGTCCTGGGACTGAGCTCCACATAGGGTTCTCCATTCAGTGGCAAGTCCACTTCTCCTCCTCCCTCTCCCTCTGCGATCTCTCTCAAATATGTAAATAAAATCTTTTTAAAAATAAATAAATAACAATGGAATATTCTCTATCGAGATTATTTTCAATAGTAATATTTTAGGATAGTAATGGAGAGTACTGGGTCCAAGTTAGTGTTATAGGAAGATGCTTCACAAAATAAACCCTTTCACAGGATAGATATATCCTTATATAAAGGATATAGAAACTATTTTTGATCCTTATCATAATTTTAGGATATTTTTCTCTTAACATTTCCCTTACAAAAAGTCACTTTTCAAAAGTTCTTACTAAACATCCTTTAGTCTTCTAAACACTCTTCTTAGCGCATCCCTTCTAAGATAAACTGAGAAAGTATGCTTCCTATATTCTCCTTTAATAAAGGAATAAATCTCTCCCATATTAGATATAGTAATTACATCCTTAAAGACATGATATTACAAAATATTCCAACAAAATAAATGGAATTAATCTAAAATGCATTTTGAAGAGAAACTAATGTCAATTTTTAGTATGCGGAAGCACCAGGTTTCTCAAGGCTCTTTGCAAGGGGACTTGGCATTGCAGCAAGC